ATCCTCCCATTTTCTTTTGGTACAGATCTGGTTTGATTAGGGTTCAAGTAGATCCTTGAATATTGTATTCTAAATTCAGGGAATATGATTCCCAGTTGGGAGAARGTAGGAAATTTTTGAAATTCGCCCCACCCATTCCGCAACCTTTATGGCGTCCATTAGATGGATCCTACCATTCTTTCACCATATCCGATCCATTTGCATCCATACACTCTAGACCGACAAATTTCCAACTAATCCTACCTGATCTTTACGAGAGATGACATGCCCAAATTCAATCATTCATCAAATGTATGACACAATAGATTGCCCACCAGTTCAATTTTTGAGTTTACAAATCTCATCCACTTTTTCTTCCATTAATATTTTTAAAACTAATATTTGACCATTAAAAAATAAAATATTTAAAATAATAAATTTGCCCAAGAAAGGGTGTTATACCAATAAAGGCATTAATGGAGATGTGGGACTATTACCAGGGATACCTTTTGATCTCCATATTTGACCAAGGTTTATAAAACCAGATGGGACAGGAAAACCATTCTGGGTCCGATTTCTAGGTTGAATGGTCTGACCATCTAGTCTGAATGGATGGCCTATTCTGATAAAGATAAAACAGCAAAAAACCGTTGTTCGGGTTGACTGTTTGATGATTCAATCGCCTAGATCAGCAATTTATTAACCAATCAACGGTTTTGGGGTGAAATGATACCAGTCTGGTGATCGGTTTTCGATTTTTCCAGTCTGATTTTAAAAACACTCTATTTGACATCTTTTTGTTAAGCCTCCAATCAAAATTTTGCAATGCATCAGCCCATTGTATCACATTATCAGTAGGCCACCAAAATGAAAGGTGTGGACAAACATTATACCAATCCCCTAAACAGGTTTGAAAAACTAATATAAAGCATGCTATTAAAAAGTTTGATACGCCTAAGATCATAGCATCCCCCCCCCCCCAAAAAAAAAAAAAGAAAACCTCTCTCCCCCTCCAAAAAAAGGGAAAATCTATGATAATCTGATTGGTTAACAAGTTTATGATAGTCATATGAGTTTTCAAATATAGTGTCTTTTCGGAATCATAGTCATACCCTAAAAAAACACAAAAAGAAAAACTATGGTTATGTTTGGGTAGATTTATACTTTTGTACTTTTAATATTATGAAAGTATAAAGTACAAATACAGTTTTTACTTTGGTATTTTTGCTTTGAAAACCGTTTGGGTAAAAAAATTTTGAAAAACATGTTTTCCAAAACAGAAACAGAAATATCATTTTCTGTTTGAAAAAAACACCCTATCAGTCATGTGATTCATCTGATCTTATACGTGACAAAGGCCACATTACTCATGATTAGCAACTTGTATACACTAAAGATATACACACATGCCACGTGTACACATCATGTACATGTGGCAACCACTTAGAATTGGCAATTGACATATACCTCCTAATTAACGACACATGGAATTCACTACATTAATCATGTATAATTAATGAAAACATTAATAGTTATATCAAACTATAGTAATAACTAGTAATCTGGCATGGGATATTTATCTCCAACATTATAAGAACAGTTCAGAAGCTAACCACATACCACTCACCAATTGACCGGCTCTCTATCATTATATATCAACATAATGATAGTCAATCCAATCCTCACCCCACACCACTTCTCCTACAACCGAGTAATATAGGCATACATGGATGTATAGAAGCAATAATAGTGGAGTAATATGAGTATACATGGATGTATACAAGCAATAACAATGGATTAATATAGGCATTTAGTGGTAATCATTCGGATGCAAACAAACAGATTAATAGTCGTAGCAAGTATAAATCAAGAGTGATTAGGTTTGTTATATAAACAAATGGACAAGCAGAACTATATAGGAAAGGGAATGTCATAGGAAACCAATATAACTTCAGACAACAAGCTCCCAAACACAGTGGCTCATGTTTAATGTTTAGAAAACCAGAAAAAACTTGCTCCACAGTACACATGTCAAGAAAACCATGCTTATCTTCACTGTGTAGGAAAGGAAATGCCATATGAAAAACATAGATAATACCCTACACAACAATCAACAATGGGAATGAAAAAAACAGGGGAATCACAGATCGTCAATATAGATAGTTGATGAACAAGTAATAAACATTCCATTATACTGGTATTATAGCTATAACACTCCAGTTCATTATTGGTTTTGTACA